GAGACAGATAAGGACTGATAGAGAGACAGATAAGGACTGATTGAAAGATGGAATATCAATTTCTCTATTATTGTGTGTTGGTGAAAGTGTGTATCAGACTGTGTACTCTATGGGCTGCTTTAAGCGGAACTACCGAATGAGGGGGACAGAGGGAGGAAGAGAGAAAGAGCGAGAGACGGGTGAAGAGAGAGATGGGTGCGAGAGAATAGAGGAATATTAAAATAAGCATTAAAATCACTGATCAATAAAATCTAATTAAACAAGATCAGACACAGATAATGGGAGAGTAATGATGCTGTTGACTCTATCCATACTATCTAGTGTCTAACTCTGGGTATGACATCAATGTGTGTGTGTGCGCAAGTATTCTTACGAGCGAGTCAAGAGGGCTGTGTATGTCAGACTGCAGCTCGCTACAACAGTAACTAAAGAGAGTTACCAAGTCTCTCTGCTTCACCCACAGACAGTAACTAAAGAGAGTTACCAAGTTCACCCACAGACAGTAACTGACGGGGAACAGCAACACTACGTCACTTCTGCATAAACACAGAGAGGGAGTCTGGTAACAACTACTGTGAATGTGTGTTTACTGTGTGAATGAGTAAATATTGTTAGGAGTGAGTCGACAGGGATGTGTGTAATCTTGCCAGCTAGTGGAGCAACATAAGCAGGCCCACTCCTCCTCCTGTCTGAACAGCGATACTCATGACCTGCAGTACTCCATCATCTTATTGTGCTACAGTAATGTCATGTGAAAGGTTAAAGCATTATTCATTATTTGCATGTTCCGTCACAATATTGTTTTGAACGTTCGTTTGAACTGATGCCCGACTGAGCATTCTACTAAATGTATCGTCAATGAGCGATTTAATCAAAAGTGCATTACAGTGGCTTGGAAATACAATGATATTCAAAAGGAGGCAAGTTATCATTTTGATGTCACCAGATTGACTTTAGATTCAGTATGGGCGGCAGGTAGCTTAGTGGGTAAGAGCGTTGTGCCAGTAACCGAAAGGTCGCTGGTTCTAATCCCCAAGCTGACTAGGTGAAAAATCTGTCGATGTGCCCTTAAGCAAGGCACTTAACCCTAATTGCTCCTGTAAGTCGCTCTGGATAAGAGCGTCTGCTAAATGACTAAAATGTAAAAAATGTAAATAACGTTAGCTAGCTAGCTAAGATTGAGGGGAGCCCACCAGATTGACTTTAGATGCAGTATAACATTAGCTAGCTAGCTAAGATTGAGGTGAGGCCATTTTTGTATAATTTTTTTGACAAACTTTTTTTGACAAACTTTGACAAACTTTTTTTGACAAACTTTTTTTGACAAATAATTTTTTTGACATAATTTTTTTGACAAACTTTGACAACATTGCCATCTGTCTAAAGTAAATTTGACGACATGATAACGCTGGAAAAGTTGTTTCCTACTAAATATTTGACTACTTTAGCAATGTCATGGTATTTCCAGGCACTATAGTGTAATTTAGACTAAACAGTAGTTAGCCTCTCTCCAGAATGACTGGGCTCATCACCACTCTAGGGCCCCACTCTAGGGCCCCACTCTAGGGCCCCACTCTAGGGCCCCACTCTAGGGCACCACTCTAGGGCCCCACTCTAGGGCACCACTCTAGGGCCCCACTCTAGGGCCCCACTCTAGGGCCCCACTCTAGGGCCCCACTCTAGGGCACCACCACTCTAGGGCACCACCACTCTAGGGCACCACCACTCTAGGGCACCACCACTCTAGGGCACCACCACTCTAGGGCACCACCACTCTAGGGCACCACCACTCTAGGGCACCACCACTCTAGGGCACCACCACTCTAGGGCACCACCACTCTAGGGCACCACTCTAGGGCACCACTCTAGGGCACCACTCTAGGGCATCACTATGGCGCCACAGATAGAGGGCGGCTTGAGAACGTTCACAACAATGGCATGATGCGACCGAGTGACGGAGCTGCAACCTGTGAATACGTACTGTATGTGCATGTCTGAGTCGTAGTCGTCTAATGGCATGATGCGACTGAGTGACGGAGCTGCAACCTGTGAATACGTACTGTATGTGCATGTCTGAGTCGTAGTCGTCTAATGGCATGATGCGACCGAGTGACGGAGCTGCAACCTGTGAATGCGTACTGTATGTGCATGTCTGAGTCGTAGTCGTCTAGTCGGGTATTATATGACCAGAGGGGCTCTTCTCTAGCCAGTCTAAGGGTTAAACTCTGTCTGCTAGATAGCCCTGAGATGACTGGATTAAAATACTTGTTGTTCCCAATACTTCATGTGGGATTCATCTCGAAAGTCTCGTTTTACAACAACCATCAGAAGGCAGAGATGATTTGCTTGTAAGCAGTCCCACAATACTTTGCACGCCATGGAGTCTCGAGCCGCAGCGTTCCAAACTCATTTTGGTTGAAGTGTATTTAGATGTTACGTTTGCTTTGGCAACTTTGCGCTCTGTGGGGTCTATGTAGATGGAACTGGTCTATTTAGCAGACAGAATGTCACCCTTCCTGTTTGTGTGTTAACTACAGTCCTGTAGAGCTTAGTACAATACTGTCCTACAACTACAGTAGCATCACTCCTAGCAACACTCCTAGCAACACTGTATGCTTCAGCTACAGTCCTACCAATAATCAGCCATCAATCAAACACTGGCTTTCATTTGGTGGTTGTTTGACAAGTTAACGGGCCGTTTGTTTGTTGTGTCTCAGTGTAACAGATCGTAACGGTGGGCTCAGTGATTTAAACATCAACACTTTGACTGTATCCCAAATAGCATCCTATTCCCTACATAGTGTACTACTTTGACAAGAGCCCTGTGGTGGAAAACCATCCCCAATAATGCTGAAGATCAGCAGCAGGTTCTTCACAGGAACAAAGAGGATCAAGTCAGTAAGGATGTAGGGAATAGGATGTAGGGAATAGGATGTAGGGAATAGGATGCATCCTTTAAACCCAACCCTGGGGACCCCAAGGGGTGCCAGTTTTGGTATTTGCCCTAGCACCACACAACTGATTCAAAAAAACATATCATCAAGCTTTGATTATTTGAATCAGCTGTGCAGTGCTAGGGCAAAAACCCTTTGGCGTCCCCAGGTCCGAGTGCTAGGGCAAAAACCCTTTGGCGTCCCCAGGTCCGAGTGCTAGGGCAAAAGCCCTTTGGCGTCCCCAGGTCCGAGTGCTAGGGCAAAAACCCTTTGGCGTCCCCAGGTCCGAGTTTGGGAAACAATGTCTAAGGAACACCATCAGATAGATGGAGCAGTAAGTCATTGACATGGTCTCCGTCTGTTGCCTTGCCTCGTCAGGAGTTCATATAGTGTGCCATTTCAAGTCCCCTGTAGCTCAGTTGGTAGAGCATGGCGCTTGCAACGCCAGGGTTGTGGGTTCGTTTCCCACGGGGGGCCAGTATGAAAATGTATGCACTCACTAACTGTAAGTCGCTCTGGATAAGAGCGTCTGATAAATGACTAAAATGTAAAATGTAATTCCCTATATAGTGCACTACTTTTGACCAAAGCCCTACGGGGGCAGCCTTTGACCAAAGCCCTATGGGGGCAGCCTTATGGGCCTGACCAGAAGTAGTGCAGTAGAAGGACTAGCTGCCATTTGGGCAGCATCCATGTCTGTACGCTTACAGACATTGGTTTAGTTCAGTTGATTCAGTCCATGTTATTTCTATAGATGGCCAGGAGACAGACAGATCCATCCTACTGCTCTGCTCTGTGGTCTACAACTACTAACATTAAAAAAAGTCAATACTCTGATTCCTCTCAGAGCACAGCTATTAAGGGAATACTTATTTTGTCCTCTATCATAATGATAAAACGATTTAGGATCTTTAGATTGTGGGCAGAACATTCAAGTGTTCCCGCCCCAAATCCCTGCTGATTGGCAAGGTGGTTTGGGGGAAGTGCTTCCTGTTGGTTAAAGAGCTTAGAACGCTGGGCTATCGCCGTGGCGACTGCTAACCAATCACCAGGCAGTGTTGGGGAGGCGGTGCTACCAGGCCTGTCCTGATTGGCCAGCCAGCTGACAGGGTTGGTGTGGGTCTATGCTTTGGGACTTCATCAGGTCTTGTCTATAACGGCAACCTACCCCCCATAATGCACTGCTTCTGATGAACAGGAGTAGTAGTGCACCACGTAGGAAATAGGGTGCCATTTGAGACGCTGCCTTGGTGCCAGTCAGAGGGGCAGCACTCAGACCTCTAAAACCGGATCTGGCACCGAATTTGGCCTAACTGGGTTTCAACCTATAAGGGGATCCAGTGGGATTCTTCTGAAGACTACTCTGTTCACATTTAAAACAGGTCTTCTTAACAGGGGCATATTAACGTACAAAGGAGTCTCTAAAGGTGTCTAATGTTAAAGTAGATCTCTAGAGGGCACAGGGGAACCCTCTCAGACAGACTGTCTGGTCATCAATAATCATAATGAATCCTACATTAGTAAGTGCTCCCCGTTGGGATATACAATCAGAGCATAGGGGATAATGCAGTAATATAATATAAGGGTAAGAGCGTCAGGTTAAGGTGCATTACATCTGTGGTCATGGGGTCTCAACGCAGCTGGGCTAGACAAAGTTAGCACGCTAAAATATTAGCGTAAGTGCAAATGCTACTGAAGGGTCTGGGCTAAGCTATGCTAACACACTGACGCGCAGGGTGATTAGCAACACAACGCAGCGTAGCTAATACAGTTGGTCTGGCGGGGCAATGCTAACACGCTAAGTGAGCGTTCTGGGAGGTTAGAGGCTAATAGATCATCATCGGTGGTTCATTCATTCATTAGTATGTCATCATCCTCCTCCTCCTCTCTTCCTCCTCTGACACATCTAAAGCCTGACCTCACACAGAACACTGCTCGCCATGAGGTCCCTATGGCAACAACTTACATCTGTGGTCAGGGTGTCTCAACACGGCTGGGCAACTAAACCTCTACACACTAATAATAACCCAGGCACCGGAACTAACAGACTAGCCAACAGTGGGAGTTTAATAACCCAGGCACCGGAACTAACAGACTAGCCAACAGTGTGAGTTTAGTGTCAACGTTAGTGTGTGTGGAGTGTCAAACACACTACAACTACTAAACACCGTAGTAGAGGTCTAACCGTGCGGACCCTGGTAGGGGAGTGTAGATTCACTATCAATACTAACACTAGGGAGGGATCATTAGAACATTATGAGAGAGTGTGCTGGTGCTACAATAGCGATGGGCCATGGGGGCGGGGCTTTAGGGGTCAGGGGTTATGGGGTGGAGACGGGGCTTACAGACAAATGGACTCATGGAGAAAAACCTCTCATCGTTAAAATAAAACCACATGACAAAATTAAGGGGTGGGGCTTACTGCTCTGCCAAACCAATCACACGGAGAAGCAGAGAGGGGGGGGGAAAGGCTAGCGGAACACATCCATCAACCAACCAAATCGACTGATGGAGGAGAGCACCTCCCCCTCTCTGACTTCCTGGTTGGTGTGTTGGTGGGCGGGGCTAACAGAAAGACAGGGGAAGGCAGTGGAACACAGACGGCACTTTCAGAACACCCTGTTGCATCCTGGGAAAGCCTAGTCACAACTCCTTCATTACATTCCGTCTGACGGACAGCCGTCAAGGCAACAAGGGGCCTCCTCTGATTGGTTGTCTTTGCTGGCTAAGGCACACGGGGTTGGCTGGGCCAGTGGGGGCAAATCCAGAGGCTGGCCAATAGCAGAGGCTGCAGGGCTGCCGTTCAGCTTCTGGGCCACACCCCCAGAGTTAAGCCCCTCCCCCTCAGAGGACTTGGGGGGGCTGGTGGAGGGGGGGGGTGAGGTCTGGAGGGAAGGAGAGAGAGAGAAAACTTAATGCTTATTTAAAGCTACATCTAACTGGTGTCTTTACATTTAGTGTGACGACACCGCTTATTCTATGGCTTGACCTTATTGTGATGTCAGACCTTTATTCTGTTGGCAGTTACCTTTTTACCTCCTCGCCCTCCTTTCACTGGGATGTCCTTACCCCTTCTGGGGGGGGGGGGGGGGGGGGGGGGGGGGGGGAGGAGAGAGAGAGAGAGAGAGAGCAATCAGTAAAAATGTATATTATAGACTCAAGTAAGTATAGAGACAGTTTAATTTAAAGAGCAGCAGTGTCTTACCCTCTCCCTGCCCCGACCGACACCACCTGCATGTTGAACCCCCCTCTGCCACGCAGTGGTTTGTTCCCGGCCCACTGCCCCACCACCATTCCGGCTATCTCCAACTTCCCTCCATGGGGGGGGATCGACTGCAGACCTGCTCATCAACAGAGAGATAAGAGTGTGTTTATTACCTGTTAGAAAATAACAGTTGGATATACATTACATTAAAAAAAAATTACATTTTAGTCATTTAGCAGACGCTCTTATCCAGAGCGACTTACAGTTAGTGAATACATACTTTTTTATACTGGCCCCCCGTGGGAATCGAACCCACAACCCTGGCGTTGCAAACGCCATGCTCTATCAACTGAGCTACATCCCTGCCGGCCATTCCCTCCCCTACCCTGGACGACGCTGGGCCAATTATGCGCCGCCCATGAGTCTGGATTCGAACCAGGATCTCTAGTGGCACAGTTAGCACTGCTATGCAGTGCCTTAGACCACTGCGCCACTCAGGAGTACATATTTCCTGGTGCATAAAAAATTTGTTGGTTCTAATACTCACGCCTCGGATCTAACACCAATGTCTCAGTGTATTGATCTAACACCAATGTTTCAGTGTATTGATCTAACACCAATGTTTCAGTGTATTGATCTAACACCAATGTTTCAGTGTACTGATCTAACACCATTGTCTCAGTGTCTTGATCTAACACCAATGTCTCAGTGTATTGATCTAACACCAATGTTTCAGTGTATTGATCTAACACCAATGTTTCAGTGTACTGTCTCAGTGTATTGATCTAACACCATTGTCTCAGTGTATTGATCTAACACCAATGTCTCAGTGTCTTGGATCTAGGGCTGTCCTCAACAACAACAAAAAAACTTGCAACATTGTATCAAATATTCTGGGCCCTCAGTTCCCTGCCAGTGAGCTCGGGACAGACACAGCAGGAGGCTATTTATGGGACAGACACAGCAGGAGGCTATTTATGGGACAGACACAGCTGGAGGCTATTTATGGGACAGACACAGCTGGAGGCTATTTATGGGACAGACACAGCTGGAGGCTATTTATGGGACAGACACAGCTGGAGGCTATTTATGGGACAGACACAGCTGGAGGCTATTTATGGGACAGACACAGCTGGAGGCTATTTATGGGACAGACACAGCTGGAGGCTATTTATGGGACAGACACAGCTGGAGGCTATTTATGGGACAGACACAGCAGGAGGCTATTTATGGGACAGACACAGCTGGAGGCTATTTATGGGACAGACACAGCTGGAGGCTATTTATGGGACAGACACAGCAGGAGGCTATTTATGGGACAGACACAGCTGGAGGCTATTTATGGGACAGACACAGCTGGAGGCTATTTATGGGACAGACACAGCTGGAGGCTATTTATGGGACAGACACAGCTGGAGGCTATTTATGGGACAGACACAGCTGGAGGCTATTTATGGGACAGACACAGCTGGAGGCTATTTATGGGACAGACACAGCTGGAGGCTATTTATGGGACAGACACAGCTGGAGGCTATTTATGGGACAGACACAGCAGGAGGCTATTTATGGGACAGACACAGCTGGAGGCTATTTATGGGACAGACACAGCTGGAGGCTATTTATGGGACAGACACAGCTGGAGGCTATTTATGGGACAGACACAGCTGGAGGCTATTTATGGGACAGACACAGCTGGAGGCTATTTGCACAAGGGATAAGTAGTAATCAGGTAGGACTATTTTATGACGTTTCCACCAGATCAGAGCATGACATTTCTTTCCCCTTTCATGCTGAGTGGTAATCGAAATGGAGATTGCTGGAAAGATTACGTTGAGTAACTATTGTCATTCTCAATGGATGTAGAAACAAACTTAATTTACTTGCAGTTTGAGGCGAAGAAAACATTTATTTGAGATGCTCAGTGATGTTAAGTTAAGACATTCAGAAATAGTATCAGATCCCCAAATGGGGACATTTATAGGCCTACATTTGCGCTCAGGCCAGGTAGACTAGTCCTACTTCTATATGCGTAATCAGGTACGTGTCCTTACTCAAGATTGACAGGAGCGCTCCAAACAAAAGACAATAAATAAATAGACAACTCATAAATGGAATGAAATAAATAAACCCCAAAAGATTCTCACAAGTTTAGTATAGGTTGTGACTGTGCAAACAACGTGTCCTACAATGACAACGGTCAGACTGGAAACGCCTCACACCGCGTGGCTGCTGCCTCTCTAACCTGGTGGTCCCTGCACGCACGACCCACGTGGAGTTCCAGGTCTCAGGCAGCCTCTGGAACTGCCGTTCTGCTGCCAACAAGGCAGACTTCATCTCAGCCTATGCTACCAGTCCCTCGACTTCTTGGCGCTGACGGAAACATGGATTACCACTGAAAACACTGCTACTCCTGCTGCTCTCTCCTCGTCTGACCATGTGTTCTCGCATACCCCGAGAGCATCTGGTCAGCGGGGTGGTGGCACAGGAATCCTCATCTCTCCCAAGTGGACATTCTCAATTTTTCCCCTGACCCATCTGTCTATCTCCTCATTTGAATTCCATGCTGTCACAGTCACTAGCCCATTTAAGCTTAATATCCTTGTCATCTATCGCCCTCCAGGTTCCCTTGGAGAGTTCATCAATGAGCTTGACGCCTTGATAAGTTCCTTTCCTGAGGATGGCTCACCCCTCACAGTTCTGGGGGATTTCAACCTCCCTACGTCTACATTTGACTCATTTCTCTCTGCCTCCTTCTTTCCACTCCTCTCCTCTTTTGACCTCACCCTCTCACCGTCCCCCCCTACTCACAAGGCAGGCAATACGCTTGACCTCATCTTTACTAGATGCTGTTCTTCTACTAATCTCACTGCAACTCCCCTCCAAGTCTCCGACCACTACTTTGTATCCTTTTCTCTCTCCCTCTCCTCCAACACTACTCACTCTGCCCCTACACAGATGGTAATGCGCCGTCGCAACCGTCGCTCTCTCTCTCCCGCTACTCTCTCCTCTTCCATCCTATCATCTCTTCCCTCTGCTCAATCCTTCTCCCTCCAATCTCCTGATTCTGCCTCCTCAACCCTCCTCTCCTCCCTTTCTGCATCCTTTGACTCTCTATGTCCCCTATCCTCCCGGCCGGCTCGGTCCTCCCCTCCAGCTCTGTGGCTTGATGACTCATTGCGAGCTCACAGAACAGAGCTCTGGGCAGCTGAGCGGAAATGGAAGAAAACTAGACTCCCTGCGGACCTGGCATCTTTTCACTCCCTCCTCTCTACATTTTCTTCATCTGTTTCTGCTGCTAAGGCCACTTTCTACCACTCTAAATTCCAAGCATCCGCCTCTAACCCTAGGAAGCTCTTTGCCACAGGAACCCTACGTAGGAACCCTACGACCCTGCCTTACACAGGAAGCGGCACAGGTCCTAATCCAGGCACTTGTCATCTCCCGTCTGGATTACTTCAACTCGCTGTTGGCTGGGCTCCCTGCCTGTGCCATTAAACCCCTACAACTCATCCAGAATGCCGCAGCCCGTCTGGTGTTCAACCTTCCCAAGTTCTCTCACGTCACCCCGCTCCTCCGCACACTCCACTGGCTTCCAGTTGAAGCTCGCATCTGCTACAAGACCATGGTGCTTGCCTACGGAGCTGTGAGGGGTACGGCACCTCCGTACCTTCAGGCTCTGATCAGACCCTACACCCAAACGAGGGCACTGCGTTCAACCACCTCTGGCCTGCTGGCTCCCCTACCTCTGCGGAAGCATAGTTCCCGCTCAGCCCAGTCAAAACTGTTCGCTGCTCTGGCACCCCAATGGTGGAACAAGCTCGCTCACGACGCCAGGACAGCGGAGTCACTCACCACCTTCCGGAGACATTTGAAACCCCACCTCTTTAAGGAATACCTGGGATAGGATAAAGTAATCCTTCTACCCCCCCCCAAAAAAAAAAAAAACTTTGTAAAGTGGTTATCCCACTGGCTATAAGGTGAATGCACCTATTTGTAAGTCGCTCTGGATAAGAGCGTCTGCTAAATGACGTAAATGTAATGTAAATGTAAATAATATATTGAATGCATTAACAGAAATTACCGTGACCAAACAAACATTGTAGATGATAAATGATGGTAATTACGTAAATGTCGGTGTGCCATCCTGCGGATCCAATGATCAGTCCACTCAACAGCCTCCACAATGTTCGCCCAGACAGCTCCCTGATCAGGAAGCTCCCAATGGATGTCCATCAGCAGCCTCCACATGGATCACTAGACAGCCTCCACATGATCGTCCACTCAGCAGCTCCACAATGGTCAGTCATGACAGGTCTCACAATGGATCAGTCACTAGACAGGCCTCCACAATCGTCACTAGAAGGCCTCCAAATGATCGTCCACTCGACAGTCCACTCAGACAGGCCTCCACAATGGATCAGTCCACTCAGACGCCCAGGATCATCCTCAACAGGCTCCCAATGGATCAGTCCATTAGCCACTGATCAGTCCATCAGACAGGCCTCCACAATGGATCAGTCCATCAGACGGCCTCCACAATGATCAGTCCACTCAGCGCTCCACAATGGATCAGTCCAGTCAGACAGGCTCACAAGGATCATCCACCAGACAGCCTCCAATGGATCAGTACTCACAGGCTCACATGGTCAGTCAAGCGTCTCATGTGCCACAATTTTGTACAAATATATTTGCCACTGATCTAACAAGGAATGGCAAATAAGTCTGGCTGCACAACCGATTGGCAAATGTACTGTAAATTGAGAAATAATGTGACAAAACTGAATAAAAAGAATAAAAAAACTGCACTATGAAATAACAAAGAATGATAGTAAAAAGCTTTGGAGCCCCTTATATGAAGTTTTGCGCAAAAAGGCAAACTCAGCTCCATCATCCATTGAATCAGATGGCTCATTCAGAACAAAACCCACTGATATTGCCAATTACTTTAATACTTTTTCATTGGCAAGATTAGCCAATTTGGCAGGACATGCCAGCAACAAACACTGACACTATACATCCAAGTACAGTGGGTTGCGAAAGTATGTACCCCCCTTAGCATTTTTCCTATTTTGTTGCCTTACAACCTGGAATTAAAATAGATTTTTTTGGGGGGGGGTTGTATCACTTGATTTACACAACATGCCTACCACTTTGAAGATGCAAAATATTTTTTATTTTGAAACAAAACAGAAATAAGACCCAAAAAAAGAAAACTTCCATTCTTCAAGGCAAAACTGCTCCAGCTCCTTCAAGTTGGATGGGTTCCGCTGGTGTACAGCAATCTTTAAGTCATACCACAGATTGGATTAAGGTCTGGGCTTTGACTAGGCCATTCCAAAACATTTAAATGTTTCCCCATTCTAAGACATTTAACTCAAATCTCTGGAAGACTGAAACAGGTTTCCCTCAAGGATTTCCCTGTATTTAGCGCCATCCATCATTCCTTCAATTCTGACCCGTTTCCCAGTCCCTGCTGTTCTCAGGGTGATGAGAGGTGTTGGGTTTGCGACAGACATAGCGTTTTCCTTGATGGCCAAAAAGCTCAATTTTAGTCTCATCTGACCAGAGTACCTTCTTCCATATGTTTGGGGAGTCTCCCACATTCCTTTTGGCGAACACCAAACGTGTTTGCTTATTTTTTCTTTAAGCAATGGCTTTTTTCTGGCCACTCTTCCGTAAAGCCCAGCTCTGTGGAGTGTACGGCTTAAAGTTGTCCTATGGACAGAACCTCCAATCTCCGCTGTGGAAAGTTGCAGCTCCTTCATGGTTATCTTTGGTCTCTTTGTTGCCTCTGATTAATGCCCTCCTTGCCTGGTCTGTGAGTTTTGGTGGGCGGCCCTCTCTTGGCAGGTTTGTTGTGGTGCCATATTCTTTCTATTTTTTTTAAATAATGGATTTAATGGTGCTCCGTGGGATGTTCAAAGTTGCAGATATTTTTTTATAACCCAACCCTGATCTGTACTTCTCCACAACTTTGTCCCTGACCTGTTTGAAGAGCTCCTTGGTCTTCATGGTGCTGCTTGCTTGGTGGTGCCCCTTGCTTAGTGGTGTTGCAGACTCTGGGGCCTTTCAGAACAGGAGTATATATATATATATATATATATATATATATATACTGAGATCATGTGACACTTAGATTGCACACAGGTGGACTTTATTTAACTAATGATGTGACTTCTGAAGGTAATTGGTTGCACCAGATCTTATTTAGGGGCTTCAGAGCAAAGGGGGTGAATACATATGCACACACCACTTTTATTAATTTTTTATAATTTTTTGAAACAAGTTATCTTTTTCATTTCACTTCAACAATTTGGACTATTTTGTGTATGTCCATTACATGAAATCCAAATAAAAATCAATTTAAGTTACATTTTGTAATGCAACAAAAATCTGATCAAAATATGAAAGACACCATTGTAATTTTGAATTCTGTAAAGTGAGTGTGGAAGAGGTGAAAAAAGTATTGTTGTCTATTAACAATGACAAGCCACCGGAGTCTGACAACTTGGATGGAAAATTACTGAGGATAATAGCGGACGATATTGCCACTCCTATTTGCCATATCTTCAATTTAAGCCTACCAGAAAGTGTGCCCCCTCAGGCCTGGAGGGAAACAAAAGTCATTCCGCTAACTAAGAATAGTAAAGCCACCTTTAATGGCTCAAATAGCTGACCAATCAGCCTGTTACCAACCCTTAGTAAACTTTCAGAAAATATTGTGTTTGACCAGATACAATGCTATTTTAAAGTAAACAAACTGACAAACTTTCAGCAAGCTTATAGGGAAGGACCTTCAACAAGCACAGCACTTACACAAATGACTGATGATTGGCTGGGAGAAATTGATGATAAAATGTTTGTGGGGACTGTTTTGTTAGATGTCAGTGCGGCTTTTGACATTATCGATCATAGTCTGCTGCTGGAAACACGTATGTGTTATGGCTTTACACCCCCTGCTATATTGTGGATAACGAGTTACCTGTCTAACAGAACACAGAGGGTGTTCTTTAATGGAAGCCTCTCCAACATAATCCAGGTAGAATCAGGAATTCCCCAGGGCAGCTGTCTAGGCCCCTTACTTATTTCAATCTTTACTAATGACATTCCGCTGGCTTTGAGTAAAGCCAGTGTGTCTATGTATGTGGATGACTCAACACTATACACGTCAGCTACTATAGCGACTGAAATGACTGCAACACTTTAAAAAGAGCTGCAGTTAGTTTCAGAATGGGTGGCAAGGAATAAGTTAGTCCTAAATATTTCTAAAACTAAAAGCATTGTATTTGGGACATTTCATTCACTAAACCCTAAACCTCAACTAAATCATGTAATAAATAATGTGGAAATTGAGCAAGTTGAGGTGACTAAACTGCTTGGAGTAACCCTGGATTGTAAACTGTCATGGTCCAAACATATTGATGCAACAGTAGCTAGGATGGGGAGAAGTATGTCCATAATAAAGCGCTGCTCTGCCTTCTTAACTACACTATCAACAATGAAGGTCCTACAGGCCCTAGTTTTGTCACACCTGGACTACTGTTCAGTCGTGTGGTCAGGTGCCACAAAGAGGGACTTAGGAAAATTGCAATTGGCTCAGAACAGGGCAGCACAGCTGGCCCTTGGATGTACACAGAGAGCTAACATTAATAATATGCATGTCAATCTCTCCTGGCTCAAAGTGGAGGAGAGATTGACTTCATCACTACTTGTATTTGTGAGAGGTATTGACATGTTGAATGAACCGAGCTGCCTGTTTGAGCTACTGGCACACAGCTCGGTCACCCATGCATTTACATTTTAGTCATTTAGCAGAGGCTCTTATCCAGAGCGACTTACAGTTAGTGAGTGCAGATCTGATTGATTGATTGCTTTTGTGGACAGGTGTCTTTTATACAGGTTACAAACTGAGATTAGGAGCACTCCCTTTAAGAGTGTGCTCCTAATCTCAGCTCGTTACCTGTATAAAAGACACCTGGGAGCCAGAACTCTTTCTGATTGAGAGGGAGTCAAATACTTATTTCCCTCACTGTACTACTCACATGAAGAGTAGCTGCTGCCTTGGCAGGAACTAATGGGGATCCATAATAAACCCCAGGAAGAGTAGCTGCTGCCTTGGCAGGAACTAATGGGGATCCATAACAAACCCCAGGAAGAGTAGCTGCTGCCTTGGCAGGAACTAAATGGGGATCCATAATAACCCCAGGAAGAGTAGCTGCTGCCTTGGCAGGAACTAATGGGGATCCATAATAAACCCCAGGAAGAGTAGCTGCTGCCTTGGCAGGAACTAATGGGGATCCATAATAAACCCCAGGAAGAGTAGCTGCTGCCTTGGCAGGAACTAATGGGGATCCATAATAAACCCCAGGAAGAGTAGCTGCTGCCTTGGCAGGAACTAATGGGGATCCATAATAAACCCCAGGAAGAGTAGCTGCTGCCTTGGCAGGAACTAATGGGGATCCATAATAAACCCCAGGAAGAGTAGCTGCTGCCTTGGCAGGAACTAATGGGGATCCATAATAAACCCCAGGAAGAGTAGCTGCTGCCTTGGCAGGAACTAATGGGGATCCTAATAACCAGGTTGTGCAGGAACTAATGGGATCCAAAAATCCAATATCAAACATCTCAGTGTATGATCTAAAGTCCATGATGTCTAACACCAATGTCTCAGTGTATTGGTCTAACACCAATGTCTCAGTGTATTGTCTAACACCAATGTCTCAGTGTTTGATCTAAACCAATGTCTCAGTGTCTTGGATCTAACACCAATGTCTCAGTGTATTGGATCTAACACCAATGTCTCAGTGTATTGTCTAAAACCAATGTCTCAGTGTCTTGGATCTAACACCAATGTCTCAGTGTATTGTCTAACACCAATGTCTCAGTGTATTGGTCTAAAACCAATGTCTCAGTGTCTTGGATCTAACACCAATGTCTCAGTGTATTGTCTAACACCAATGTCTCAGTGTATTGTCTAACACCAATGTCTCAGTGTCTTGGATCTAACACCAATGTCTCAGTGTATTGTCTAACACCAATGTCTCAGTGTATTGTCTAACACCAATGTCTCAGTGTCTTGGATCTAACACCAATGTCTCAGTGTATTGGATCTAACACCAATGTCTCAGTGTATTGTCTAACACCAATGTCTCAGTGTATTGGATCTAACCAATGTCTCAGTGTCTTGGATCTAACACCAATGTCTCAGTGTATTGTCTAAAACCAATGTCACAGTGTCTTGATCTGTGCATTGATCTATTGGATACGTGTGTGTGCGCTTGTGAACGTGTGTGTGTGCGATGCTCACCTGGGAAGGCTCTGGGTCTGTGCTGGGCTGGGTGTGTGTGGTGATGAGGGTGAGGATGATGAGGGTGGTGGTGGGGGGGCATGTTGCCCATGGGCCGGGGGGGGTAGAGGGGAGGCAGAGGGTAGAAGGGGGGAGGAGGCAAGAAGGAAGGAGGGGGGAGAGGGGGAGGAGGGGGAGGAGGACGAGAGAAGTTGATTCCTTCTAGGATGGCCTGACGCATCTTCTCCACACGAGACACCAGCTCCTCCTGTTGGACAGAGACAATATTATACTTATAAATACCAGAAGTCGAGTAAGCCTTTTACATGGGTCACAGAAAGCATTCCCATTTTTGTATCGCCTGCTGGCCCGGGGATTGAACCAGCAACCATCCGGCTACTGGTACGCCTCTACACCCCACCCCCCGACCAACCTGTCCTTCACACATGTCGAGCAGGGCCTGGCGGTCTCGGGCGGCGCGGGCCAGTTTGGTCTGGAAGAGTTTCCCGTCGAAGAAGCCCCAGGGGCAGCAGTGTTCCCATGGTAATGGCTGACCACACACGTCGTTGACCAACAGAGCCGTATCCACGCCCGCCATGAAGAGGGACGCCAGCTGCACCCCCCGACCGTCTACCTTCTCCACCTATAGACACACAATCAAAAACTCTTTTTTTGACCAATGGGTAAAATATTATGTTGTGTAGATAATCCACTAAGAAAACCAATGCTTCAAACTTCAGGTCTCTATCATAATCCGTTCAAAATTTATTGGAGTTTCTACCCTTGTAGGATGGACAGAATTAGAGGGACTAAATCAAAAACTTGTTTTTAAAAATGAAGAAAAATGCAGGCTCACCTCCCAGAATGAAGGCTACATGGCTACCTGACAGGCTCACCTCCCAGAATGAAGGCTACAAGGCTACATGGCTACCTGACAGGCTCACCTCCCAGAATGAAGGCTACAAGGCTACATGGCTACATGACAGGCTCACCTCCCAGAATGAAGGCTACAAGGCTACATGGCTACATGACAGGCTCACCTCCCAGAATGAAGGCTACATGGCTACATGGCTACCTGACAGGCTCACCTCCCAGAATGAAGGCTACATGGCTACCTGACAGGCTCACCTCCCAGAATGAAGGCTACAAGGCTACATGGCTACCTGACAGGCTCACCTCCCAGAATGAAGGCCTACAGGCTACATGGCTACATGGACAGGCTCACCTCCCAGAATGAAGGCTACATGGCTACATGGCTACCTGACAGGCTCACCTCCCAGAATGAAGGCTACATGGCTACCTGACAGGCTCACCTCCCAGAATGAAGGCTACATGGCTACATGACAGGCTCACCTCCCAGAATGAAGGCTACAAGGCTACATGGCTACATGACAGGCTCACCTCCCAGAATGAAGGCTACATGGCTACATGACAGGCTCACCTCCCAGAATGAAGGCTACATGGCTACCTGACAGGCTCACCTCCCAGAATGAAGGCTACAAGGCTACATGGCTACCTGACAGGCTCACCTCCCAGAATGAAGGCTACATGGCTACCTGACAGGCTCACCTCCCAGAATGATGGCTACATGGCTACCTGACAGGCTCACCTCCCAGAATGAAGGCTACATGGCTACATGGCTACCTGACAGGCTCACCTCCCAGAATGAAGGCTACATGGCTACCTGACAGGCTCACCTCCCAGAATGAAGGCTACATGGCTACCTGACAGGCTCACCTCCCAGAATGAAGGCTACATGGCTACATGGCTACTGACAGGCTCACCTCCCGGATGAAGGCTACATGGCTACTGACAGGCTCACCTCCCAGAATGAAGGCTACATGGCTATACATGACAGGCTACCTCCCATAATGAAGGCTACATGGGCTACCTGACAGGCTCAACCTCCCAGAATGAAGGCTACAAGGCTACATGCGACCTGACAGGCCCACCTCCTCAGAGAAGCTACATGGCTAACTGACAGGCTTCCACCCTCCCAGAATGAAGGCTACATGGCTACCTGCCCAGTCTCACCTCCAGAATGAAGGCACAAGGCTACAAGGCTACATGGCGACCTGACAGGCTCACCTCCCAGAATGAAGCTACATGGCTACCTGACAGGCTCACCTCCCAGAATGAAGGCTACAAGGCTACATGGCGACCTGACCGCTCACCTCCCAGAATGAATCTCATGGCTCCCTACAGGCTTCACCTCCCAGAATGAAGGCTACAAGGCTACATGCGACCTGACAGGCTTCACCTCCCCGATGAAGGCTAAGGCTACATGGCGACTACAGGCCACCTCCCAGAATGAAGCTACTGGCTACCTGACCAGGCTCACCTCCCAGAATGAAGCTACCTGGCTACCTGACAGGCTCACCTCCCAGAATGAAGGCTACAAGGCTACACTGACAGGCTACACTCCCAGATGAAGTCACATGGCGACCTGACAGGCTCACCTCCCAGAATGAAGCTACATGGCTACCTGACAGGCTCACCTCCCAGAATGAAGGCTACATGGCTACCTGACAGGCTCACCTCCCAGAATGAAAGGCTACAAGGCTCACCTCCCAGAATGAAGCTACATGGCTACCTGACAGGCTCACCTCCCAGAATGAAGCTACATGGCTACCTGACAGGCTCACCTCCCAGAATGAAGCTACATGGCTACCTGACAGGCTCACCTCCCAGAATGAAGGCTACAAGGCTACAAGGCTACATGGCGACCTGACAGGCTCACCTCCCAGAATGAAGCTACATGGCTACCTGACAGGCTCACCTCCCAGAATGAAGGCTACATGGCTACATGACAGGCTCACCTCCCAGAATGAAGGCTACATGGCTACATGGCTACCTGACAGGCTCACCTCCCAGGACATTAAACAATACAGGTGAGATGGATATTGACTTTGAGACATGACATGTAGTATTATCAGATTTTGGTATAAGCTTTTCATATTCATGCGGTTCCTGTTATTTTTAGAAGATTTCTCATAAAAACAAGCGTATCGATATGTAGTGATGTGTCGTTTTAATGTCATATGTTGAACAATGTTGGACATGAGTTTCTCCAAGCTCATCTATAATGCTGAACCGTTATGGACTACTGAGTTTCTCCAAGCTCATCTATAATGCTGAACCGTTATGGACTACTGAGTTTCTCCAAGCTCATCTATAATGCTGAACCGTTATGGACTACTGAGTTTCTCCAAGCTCTCTCTAAGGCAAAGGGTCATAAAGGTTAACCTTCACACCTAGGTGAAATGTCATGTGACCTCACAGGACTACAAAATGACTCTGCTGTATCCCCCATTAGCCTCTTATCCTGCTGGACCGAAGAGCCTCTTCATATCCTGCTGGACCTCTCTGGAGGAGGGAGAAGAGCCTCTTCTTATCCTGCTGGACCTCTCTGGAGGAGGGAGAAGAGCCTCTTCTTATCCTGCTGGACCTCTCTGGAGGAGGGAGAAGAGCCTCTTCTTATCCTGCTGGACCTCTCTGGAGGAGGGAGAAGAGCCTCTTCTTATCCTGCTGCACCTCTCTGGAGGAGGGAGAAGAGCCTCTCTTCTTATCTTGCTGGACCTCTCTGGAGGAGGGAGAAGAGCCTCTTCTTATCCTGCTGGACCTCTCTGGAGGAGGGAGAAGAGCCTCTTCTTATCCTGCTGGACCTCTCTGGAGGAGGGAGAGAGCCTCCATCTTCAGTAGGCCGACCACAGGGCCTGGACCAGTTAACCTTCTGGACCTTCGCCTTGGTGAACTGATAAGTTAGGCAAAGTACCTTTTTTAGGGAATGGTACCTGTAACCCAGTACAGAAGAGCCCATGCACTAAACAGAAGGAAACAGTCTCAGAAGACATAAGACTTCAAAGAGCTGAAGGGTTTCAAGCTAACCCTCTTCAAGGAGAAGACAATTTAGAACACAGCCTCTGCAACTCAAATAAAGCGCCATCAGACAGTGTAACCAGGGACACAACCTAAAGGATCAGCCATCAGACAGTGTAACCAGGGACACAACCTAAAGGATCAGCCATCAGACAGAGTAACCAGGGACACAACATAAAGGATCAGCCATCAGACAGTGTAACCAGGGACACAACCTAAAGGATCAGCCATCAGACAGAGTAACCAGGGACACAACCTAAAGGATCAGCCATCAGACAGAGTAACCAGGGACACAACCTAAAGGATCAGCCATCAGACAGTGTAACCAGGGACACAACCTAAAGGATCAGCCATCAGACAGAGTAACCAGGGACACAACATAAAGGATCAGCCATCAGACAGTGTAACCAGGGACACAACCTAAAGGATCAGCCATCAGACAGTGTAACCAGGGACACAACCTAAAGGATCAGCCATCAGACAGAGTAACCAGGGACACAACCTAAAGGATCAGCCATCAGACAGTGTAACCAGGGACACAACCTAAAGGATCAGCCATCAGACAGTGTAACCAGGGACACAACCTAAAGGATCAGCCATCAGACAGTGTAACCAGGGACACAACCTAAAGGATCAGCCATCAGACAGAGTAACCAGGGAACACAACCTAAAGGATCAGCCATCAGACAGTGTAACCAGGACACAACCTAAAGGATCAGCCATCAGACAGTGTAACCAGGGACACAACCTAAAGGATCAGCCATCAGACAGAGTAACCAGGGACACAACCTAAAGGATCAGCCATCAGACAGTGTAACCAGGGACACAACCTAAAGGATCAGCCCACAAAGGACCACCCAAACTCAGAGGAAAGGAGCAAGAAACTACCACCAAGGAACCCCTCAACTCAGGACAAAGGAGAACACAGCCATTTTCCTTTTGTTCACCTCCATGTGGTCTAACCGGAGCCGTGGACTACAGACTGTTGACAGACTTTCACATCTTTAATATTCAGATATCTTGGGTCTCTTTTTTGTCTTTCATTCTATTTCCTACCTTTTAATCATCACTCATTATGTTTAGAAATATTTTGATTAGCGTTATTAAATGTGAATGACCGGCTCGATCTTATGTAGCGAAATTGTGTTTTTTACATTGGATAAAAGTAGAGACTCAGAGCTAGAAAATTGTATATCATACACTACAGTTGAGGAACAATGGGACAGTTAATCTGCTTTGAAAGTTGATAAACTTGTAACCTCACTTTAGAAAATGCTCCTTGAATGTTTTGGTACTTACTGAAGAGCTCTTCTTTGTCTACACCCATTCAACATCGTTCACACCCTTTTAATGCTTTAGTCCCCACCCATCTCTTTACGGATTCACATGTGAGGCCATGTACTAAACAACCAAAGATTTCAAGACTAAAGGCTGGTTTATACTACGGATGTGTTCGTGAATTTAATCTGGAGTGCCAGAGTGTGCTCTGGGCGTTCGTAAACTCAAGAGTGTTGTCAGATTGTCCGTTCGTAAATTCAAAGCGTTTTGGTCTCAGAGCGCACACTGGACGCTCTGGTCGAGGAGTAGGGTTGATCCGAGCGTTCTGACCTAACAACAGCAGCCAAGCACCCAAGCTAACTGGCTAATGTTGGCTAGCTTGCTAGCTACTTCCAGACACAAATGAGAGAACAGCTCTCTGACTTATACTCGCCCTAGCAG